AAGTCAGTATTTGTTGGAGCTGTTAACAACTCAGACATCTGAAACGTAACACTGACTACACACTGCTTTTTGGAGGAAGCCACAAAGGTTGTAAAGCACTAAGTTTAATCTGTGACTACGTGTTGCATTTTAAAAGCTTGTTATATTATCCAATATCTTTAATCTGCATCTTTAAAAAGCTGTCAGGTAAAGAGGTAAAGAGTAGAAAGGACAATATTTCCCTCTGTGATGTCGTGAAGAAGTAAGAAAAGGAGCATAAAATGGAAATATAAGTATCTCTAAGTTAAACTCAACTACAGTACTTAAGCAAATCTTCTTAGTTACTTTTACCCCTGGAAATAAAAGTGCTCAACTTAAACCAAACTTAATATTTAGTTTCAGTGTCGACATCAAGCCTGCAAAGCACTGACATGAATAAATGTTTTAGTATGTTTTCTTTCTTTCTTCTTTCATCAGTAGCTGCAGTTTTTTTGTTTGTTTGTTTATTTTCCTGCCTTGCTTTATTTTGAAGTTTCCTTTGTCTTCAGACTTTCCCACATGCTGCACTTCATGCATCCATTTCCTGTGTTGTGGATCTCAATTTTTTGTTTTTCTGTGCATATTGGAGCTGTTTTTCTGTCTCTGGTCCTCATGTTACCTCAATCTCAACACACACAACACATGAAAAGAAACCCACTGACCTGATGTATGTGTGAACAAGCCAGGCAAAAAGAAACAGCTGGATAACAAGTTCTGCCTTAACTGACACCTGGAAGTGGAAGAAATCAGTATAGTGAAGCCAAGCCTTGCACTGTGAATCATATTTGTCTGTGCCACAAAGCTGCATTGTTAAAAATCTATCTACCTCACTGAGCCACATGCTTCAGTCCCACATGCTGCCACAAAAGTTCACTACACGTGTATTAATCCACCACGTAAAGTAGTCCCCCAAGATGTGCCCTAGTTCCTCCTGGCTGGGTCACATTTAGTAAAAACTATGCTCACTAAGGGAGACAGAGAGCCAGACCAGCGGTTTTGGTGTGGGATTTTTTATGTTAAAACAAAAAACAAATGAAAAAATGTGGATGCCAGTTTCATCCTTCAGGAGCTTTTTTCTTTGTTGTCTATCTCTGAAATGTACATATTCCATCATGTGTACATTTTTGTTAAAACCACATTTGATTATGATTATTATTATTATTATATGAAATCATGTAAGGCGTCTCATATCTGAAAAACATTTCTGTTATGTTACTTTAAAAGCATTCCTCCTTTGTTATCATGGAACACAATCTATGTTCCTGAGAACGTCCTCCACACAATTTCTGAATGACTCAGTTCACTCTCAATCTGATGGGAAAACTGTTAGAAATGATAAATAATCTTAACACATTTCTTGAACATCAGATTAAAACTTTAAACAATTATTAGAACATGTTGTAGAACATTGTGGGAATGTTCCCTGCTAGCTGAGGTGCCTCTAACAGAATCCAGTCATGTGAATATTGTTGTTTTTCTTTTTCAGAAAGTCTGCTTCTAAGACTTCCCCCGCTGCGGCCCTGCAGTGAGGTTTGTAGATTACTTTAAGCAACCAGGATGTTGTTTCAGCAAAGAACTGTTAAGTTTTTAAATGTCTTGTTTTGAACACAACAAACACAACTGACTCAAATATTAGGGGATGAGGCGCTTCTTTAAAACATCAAATAAAACTCACATTATCTGCATGGCCAGACGCCACTGAGGATTAGTGGAAAACATGTATTATTATGTTGTAGGCATTATTGTTGTTGTTTGGAGAATAACATTTAAACTCATCAGTACTTCCTCAAAGCAGCTCATTAATTAAATCATTAGTGAACATAACAATGAGTTCCATAGTCTTTTAAGACAACTCATGCAAAACAGGCTAAAAAAATTTTTTTTTTTAAACTCCGGAAATTCAAAAATCCACCTAAAGCAACAGATCTTGATTTAAAGTGGAAACCCTTGAAAGTAAAAATGCATCTTATAGTTATAAACAATAAAGGTGTCAACATAAACAGTAAAAGTTTTTGCTGTAGTGATGTAACATAGTTTTTTCCCACCAATAACAGGCACAAAAGAGCAGCTCGGTGTTCTTCTGGTCTTTGTTTGTTGTCTTGTTGAATTATAAGCTTTATCCTAATACGAATATTAAAACAATCTCTGCTGCTGCATGCAAAGCAGAAACTGGGTTTGATAACTCAACCGTTCATTCTTTATTTTTCAAACACTGTAAATGGCTTTAAACAGACATATTCACATCTGTGCCATAAAAACTCACTTTTTGGGGGCTTATAGGGAATCCAAATGTTTTGGATTGTTGGGTGTTTCTGTCTCTGCCTTTGTGAAGCGCTATGAGATGACTGTTGTTGTAAATATGCGCTATACAAATAAAATTGAATTGAATTGAATTGAATTTAAAATAATGTAAATAAAGGCTGGATCAACCTGTTAAGGAACCACGGGGGAAAAATATGTTCACCGACTGTATTTGACTGATTACATGGGTACTAATCTTCAGTTTTTAACAGGAAACACAGAGGTGTGTCTGCATTTGACATGATCGTATGTTTTTGAGAATTTTATCTGTAATTTTTCCACTAAGTTAGATTCTACATCTATGTATCTTATTTATCTGCATCTTAATTCTTAATCTGTATTGTTGTTCACTAACGATATGTTGTCTTGTTTGCATTCACTAATTATCTAATTACCAATGGGCTCCGCCTCCCCCACACAGGATTCAAATAGTGTATTTGCAAACAACAGATTGTGAGGTGATGAATCCTCTCAGCCTGCTGTGTGTTTGTGTGATCTGTACTCAGATATTCGAGCGCTCCCGCTGGTTAATAACGCATCTTATTTTGAAGGGAACTTGACTGTTGAATTCGTGTCACATCAGTCACGGAACAATACAACAACAACAACAAGTACATGCACTGAACAGAAGAAAATGATCGAATAAATAAGCTTGTGGCCCAGTTTGAATTCATAAAATGTTTTAAATAGTTTTATTCAAAATCCTGACATATTTACAAATATGTGACAGCATTTATCGTGCATTTTCTTCCTCTTTCAAGTTTTTACAATTTTACAAGTATATAGTTTTGGCTTACACATGAGGGAGGGACTGTTGATGGAACACACTGCAATAATATATATATTATACAGCCAAAGACACAAGAATAAACAAAGAACCCCCCTTATTAAACGTTAAAATGTACACCAAAGGCGAAGATAAGCAAGTCTTTACGTTAATGATGCATAAATTCACCTTACAATCTACACACTTAGGAGGTGCATAAAGTGAAGTCTAAGTAACAAAGACAGAAAAAAAAAGAAAGAAGTGTCACATGCATTTGGCCCACTATCATGAGAGAAAGAACAGGAGCACGGTTTCAAAGTGCTGCTCGTCTTGGCATTCCAGTCAAATAAAAATGTTGCAGATATTTACAGCTGTAGCGTGACAATGTCGTGGTCCTGATGCTGAGAGACTTTATCGCCATGGCAACAAGAGATACCTCTTATTTTACTATCAGTAAGTTCAATGCAGGGTACTGAGTTTTACTCAGAAGGGATGGGGGTTATAAGAAGCGAATAAATATCAGTCAGTGTACTTCCAAAGATGTGCTTTACAAACAAACACAAGGTTAAATCAAGGAGGAAGTGCTATTTACTTATTTACAACGTCAGAAATGCAATAACGATTCCTTTTAATAGTTAAAAACGGACTGTCTGGTATCATTTACATGTACAAAAAACACCTCCGTTAGAAAAACATGAAAGTGCAACTACAAACAATCTTTACTTCTTCAGCTTCTCTGAGCGTGCTTGTGCGTCTGCCTCTGCCGCGGTGGTTGAGCTGCTCGGAAATAGGCAGGATCAGATCAGATGTTAAATCCCACTATAAGCCAACCGGTTGCCAAGGAGACATGAGCATTACCGCAATGGCACGTTGAGGGTTGGTTAACCTGCATCAGTGCAGCCAGGTGGCTTGTGGCTGTAACGTGTCATGTCTGACATTGAGCTGCGTTGCTCTTATGTAACAACACCTTTGACAGCTTACAGACAGAAAACATACAAAGTGTGAAGCATATTCAGTCCCGCATTGACAAAATGCATCACTCACTGTCATGAAGAATACATTTGGTTTTTTTCTGTATGCCTCAAAAGCACATTTTATCTTCTTTCTACAAAAAAAAGCCTGTTGTAGAGTTTTCAATATGAAATACTAATATAAAACCACCTGCCAAAATCTCAGTGTGAAAAATCCACATTAATACATTGTGCTAACACTGTGCCAAATTTGATCTGCACTGTAAAAAAGTCACAACAACATCGTCCTGTATTCCAACAAAAAAAAACAAGCAGATTTCTGTTTGTCTGTACTTCTGCAACATCCGCAAATCATCTCTGCTCAGGTGTCCATGTGGCTCGATTTGTAAGCTCCTAGGTGCTCTTTTAGCCACTCGTTCACCTCCTGTAATGTTTCTGTTGCTCACATACCAAACAAAACAAGCTGGTGCAGGCAAGTTAATGGCAAACAGCAACCTTTGGACCTGTTCTGATGGAAGGAAATCCTATTATGTGTGTTGGATCCCGCAGAGTCATGACCATACAGCCAGTAAATCCAAAGCCCCGCGCTCTTTGGAGCCTTCAAAGCCGTCCTGCTCAGAGCGGTAGAGCGAAGAAGTGAGGGTGTAGGTGGAGAAGGCAGAGAGATCGGACAGGAATGGCAAATATATATATATATATATTTATATAAAGAAAAAGCAAAATAACTCCTTGCTCTGCCTGTTGCCTGTGGCTGACCTTGTATTATTAAAGTTCTGCAGCCAGCATGATGAAAAACCAGCAAAGAGATGAAATAAATGATTGCTCAGTTCTTGATTCATGACCAAATGATATTTTTCCACTCTCCAACCATTTTTTGACACAGGTATGTAATCAGTTTAATGGAAATGAAGATCCTACGGGGTGTGAGGGTTCGGTGTCCATCTTTAGTGGCAGGGGTCAAAATCGAGCTCAGTGAGGCCTCCGTGGAGCTCTACCATTTCCTCTGACCACGACATGACGTCACCGATGAGGTGGCCTCCGCAGGTCGCCTGACTGTGGATCTCGCTGGATGTCAGGACTCTGGACCAGAACTGGAGATCCGACAGCTCCCCCATGAAGGACTGAGTGACGTCGAAGCGGCCTCCCATTGTGTCCTGTGGAGAGAGAAGGTGAGATTGAAAGGTTAAAAATCTATGATGGTATTACAAGATGCATAATATATACATACATATATATATACATATATATATATACATATATCTTTTCTATATTCCCGCCATTCAGAAGCCCATTTTTCATATTCTGTTTTGCACTGCTCTCCTTGTTTGCACTATTTCTTATATTTATATGTACATTTTTTATTTTTATTTTTTCCTGTCTCGTATATGTGTACCTCTGTTGAATGCTGCTATCAACGATGTGAATTTCTCCACTGTGAGATAAATAAAGGCATATCTTATCTTATCTTATCTTATCTTATAAATGACTAAGAAAGTGATTGTGGAAATTGAAAATGCCACTTCAGTAGATCAGGGATGACTTCAAATTCAGGTAAAGATGAATCAGTAACACTTACAGCAACTAAAATAAATGTGGCAAGACACATTTTTTTGATTTAACTTTTGCTGTTGCATTTTTCATATTATGAACTCAATGTTGTTTGCAGTCTATTGGCTATAGAATAATGGCACCATTAGGGTTTAAACTGGTTCCCTAGAAGTCTCAATTTCAATCTGCAATTCTGTCCAGGTACAAATTCTCGAAGGTATGGAGGCTAGATTTACATCACACATGAAGTTGCATCTACAATTGCTCAGCTACAACAGAAACAAGTTTGTTCTCCCCATTAGCTATTGTCAGCTTTTTGCAGGTAGCTGAACTGGTTACTGGTAGAAGGCTGAAAAGGAGCCCCATCAGAGAAGGTAAAAACACAGAGCAATAGAAACCAAGGTAAAACAAAAGTGAACCTTGAGCTCTTGGATTTGAGAGGGTTGAAAACCGCAATTCCGTAATTATTTCTGTAGGATCAGTAAGTGATGAAACCTGCCTACTCAAGAATACAACAAGGCATTTGACTGAGCACTCGGCATCGGGGTTTCTGTGAAATTGGAATTCTGATGGTTGTTTCTTGCTTTAGATAGCAGCCAGGCAGTTACAGGAAGACACATTGTCTTTTGTTTCCTAGGTGGTGTTGATCATTCGGTGTCTTGTGTTGTTGGTAGCCCCGATGCTCAAAAGATAACCAAAAGTGACTCAGCCTTTGCGACAGCAGCAACTACGCCACTAGTACTACTTACTGGAAAGTTAAACAAGCACTTATGTAAAGAAACAACATTCCTGGTAAGAGTCACAAATGTCCAAATATGTGACTGTAAGTGTGACGTCTGTACTATTTTAATGTCAGACTATCACCTATTTATTGTCAGGACTCGTTGTTTTGATCCTTTATTAGGTCCAAGTACATATTTGCATTTGAAGAAATCTGATCAGCATCAGGCAAATGTACATATTAGAGTCTAACAAGGAAAGGACAGTCCATTTATACCCATTGTCTTTATGCAGCTACAATGTCCTTCAGCATTCTGTAGGTCATACCTGCTCCTGACCCAGGATAAAGATCCCTCCTGGTTTGATGGGGTGCCAAGCTGACAGGTTCTGCCCAGAGCCTTTCTTCACTCCATCCTGGTAGGCCTCCCAGACACCGTCGCGTGTCGACCACGTCACGCACACGTGATGCCACTTCCCATCAGTCATGGTTATGGGCAGCGTCACTGCCTGAACACCCAGGGGAAGACACACAGACAGGTAGACAAGGACAGATTTGTTATTCTGGAGATTTATTCTTGTTTAAGAGTAAGAGAAGGAACTCCAGACAAGTTGATGGGATGACCAGAACCTATGTCTTGGAAACATCATCATGTTGGAGGAATGACAACAAAAGTGCATATTCTGAAAGCCTTTCACCATATATAGGTATCCACGCAGCCTGAAGCCTTACAAGCAGGTGCTCACTAATGCAGGGAAAGTGGATTATGAGACTCTCCACTCAGCTCATCCCCATTAACTCAAGAAAATTAATTAGAGACTAAGATTAATCTGCATTCTGAAGATCATTTAACTGTGTCATTGATCAGTTCGATGACAGCCAACTGTGTAACTCCGAGACAACAAACATGACAGTTCGCTCCTCTTGGTAATGTCACTCCAACAGAAAATTAGGCCAATCCATTATAATAATCAGATTAATTGCTTTGTTGATTTGTTGAGCTCGCTGTACACAGTACTGGGGCAAGGCGAACATCTGTCTTCCGTTTAGGGGAAACAGGTATCCGCCTTTCAGAGAATTAAAGATTAGGAGGCTAATAGAAGAATGAAATAACGTGTGTCAACAATCTGTGTATGGGTAAATGTCGTGTTAGTGAGTAATACAAAAAAAAAGGATGCGAATAGAGTAGCAAGAGATGTATATTTTAAATTTGAAGTAGAACTTCCTAGAAGAGTTACCAGGTAACCTGCTGGTTTAGAGACTGACATGTACAACTTGGCACTAGATTGTATTTGGTTGGTTGTTACCAGCCAGAAACAACACAACAGCGATTTTAAATACTTTGGTGGGCGTTTTTATGTCTGTCAAGACATTTCTAACTTCTAGACTAAACTATTGTAATTCCTTATTATCAGGATGTCACAATAATGTGTCTCTTTACCCTAATCCTAACCAGTCTATGTAGATGACTGCCCTCCCTGAGCCTGGTTCTGCCAGAGGTGTTTTTTTCCTTTCTGGTAAAGAGGATTTTTTTTCTATCTCTACACTGTTTTCAAGTACAAGCTCAAAGGGAATCCAAAGGAAAGTCTGTATTTGTTGGGATTCTCTGTATAAATTTTGCAAGACAAGCTCAGCTGATGCCCTGTCAGATGGACTGTCCTGTGACAGTACCCACCAGTCACTAAAAGCAGCCAGGCCTGTAACTTTAGGGCTCAATACAATTTAAACCAGTGACTCGCACAAAAATGTACATCCTGTACAGATGTCATGAATGTGGAAATTAGCTAAAGAGACTGAATATGACTTTTTGTGGCAGGCTGTAAACAAGTTTGTTTCTGATGTAAAGTTTGACACTTTAACATGGAGGTTTATGGGGACTGACTTACTTTTGGAGGGAGCCTCAAGAGGACATTAGAGGAACGGCAGACTTCATTTGTGAAACCCGGAGGTTGAACTCGTAATATTTACCAGTTGTCTGTGTAATCATTGCTTATGGTCCTGGACACACCCGCTGAAGCAGGAACTACCACAAAGGTTTTCAATACCTTGGCAAGTGTTTACGTACCTCTCTGTGGACATACACCACAGCGTCACAGCTGTGCAAAATGTAATTACAAAATTTTACGAGTGTGTGGTTGACATCAAAACGAAAAAGAATTCAAAGATGGCTGTGGTCCTAGACCTAAGTGGACTCAGAGCTGGTGAGATCCCATCACGAGGTGGTCTGTAGTTTTCAACTATTATCACAGAGTTTGACCAGCAAGCAGAAATAAAAAAAGAAACATTCTGCATAGTGCATTTCTTAGAAGCTTAGATTTGTGGCTGCAAAACTGTCTTAAGCTCTAATGAATACCATAACAATACAGCTGACTGATTTCATCATTTAGTCACATTGTTTACAATAAGGATAATGTTTTGTTGTTGTTTATTCCCATTTGGGAGATTACGGTGTATGGCCTCTTGGTTTTGTTCTCTTGGTTGGTGGCAAACTTGTAGCGAAGGCCAGTAACTGGGCTGGGTGCAGAGTTCCAGATAAGGGTGTGTCATGAATATGGTGCTGCTTCTGTTCAGGGTTAGGGTTAGGGTTAGTGATGCTAGGCTAAAGTCAGGTTTGCAGCAATTAATTTGGGTCATATGTGATGAAGCAAGCTTCTGTGCATGACTATTATGCTTTTACCTTGTCATTGATGAGCAGCTCCATGGGATTGCTGCCCCACTCCATTAGCACCAGCTCGTTAGCTTGCCCGGGCACAGCGTAGGAGAAGGGAGTGCCGAGGCCCGGACCTGCACCTGCCTTCAACCACACACAGATGGTCATGGCGAAGATCTCGTTGACCACAGAGCGCTTCATCCTGGCGTACATGTAGTTGGTCTTCATGGGGAAGTCCAGCAGGAAAGCGTTGGGATTCTTTAGCTTCTTGTGGTTTCCTGGTGGAATGGCGGGTGATTAAAGAACAAGTGTGGTTCCAGTCTGTTATTGATTCCCTAAATGCTTTTGTTGGAACATTTTAGTGGTTGTGATTTAGTTGTGTTTGTGATCAGTTTACTACCAACCTAGTCAGCCATTACACCACATGTATAATTTGTCACAAAAAAAAAATCTAGCAAAAAAGCTAAGACATTTAAATGCAGCCCACAAGTAACAGTGGGTTGAAATAAAACAGTGTTTAATCAAAATAATGCAATCACTTAATGCAGTCACTGCAATCTCTTGGAATGTTAAACAGAAATGCGATTTGTGGTTGAATGATTAATGATTAACACACAAACACAATGCCCTCTGTTCAAGTCAGAGCGTTACTTTCATAAGCACTGTTATGTTTTGATGTAACTTAAGATTCGAGTTTCGCTGCTATTCTCTAGAGTCCTTTTGCTTGCTTCATTTTGTACTTGTGAACTGAACCGAGTTTGTCTTTTCATATGGTAATTTTGCATTTGTGATTACATTTAGGTCAGAAGCCACTGGTGTCCTCAAAATGGATACAAACCACATGATGGAGAAGCTCGTTGATAAAATTACCATAAAGATATTTCTGTAATCGATTAAAAAAAAGAAATAAATAAAAAATATATTCTTGCTTTTTATTCTTTCACCAATTTCACGTGTAATGGTATTTCCTCAACCAAACAAAAGAGGTTGGTGAAAAGCATTTCGCTTGTTTTGTAAAAAATATGTTATATTAGAAACTAAGATTTGGATAAAAACACGACACACTGTTTGCCTGAGAAGAAAATGCTTAGTCTTAGTGATAGGAAATATATGCAAAAATAATGCTAATTTTAAATTTTGAATCAAACAGTCTGTATAGGTAACATGGTAAATATGAAGGTAAAGCTACATTACACAAGTCCCTCAAACTAAACAACCATACAATCCTCTTAACCGATAAGACTGTACCAGTGCCATAGGGAAATGAAGAGAATTTTATAACTACTTTTTATGACGTGAAAATGCTATGGCAGAAAGTTTGGTTAGGGTTTGGTGCAAAAACAAGTTTGTCAAATTTGAGGAACAATCTGGGTTTTGGTTAAAATATGCACTTTGTTAAGGATACAGCACCTTGAGAGGTGTTACTTCACCCATCCATCCACCCCTACCTCCTCCATATACCAATTTTGTGGCTTTGCAATATCATCTGACTCCCTCCTTTGCACACATTATAAATATTATAGCAACTAGAAGGTGCTGAAACTTCTGTCTCGCATGACCACCAAGATGAAGCTACTTACACCAACCAAACTATGGGTGTCTTTTTCAATAGGACAGCCTCAGCTAAGAGTAGGACAACTAGACAGATATTTTGTGATAATGGTTTGAATTTGTAATATTTATGTTGTAGTCACTTAAATCTGTTAAGTTTTAGTATGGTCATGGAGAAGGTTATAATTTGGTGAAAACTGGTTATGGTAGTCTCCAGAAAATCAGTCTGAATCAATGTAATGTCTTCTGACATGTATGTGTTTCGACACTATGTGCCCGTCTGTGTGTGTTTACCATGGTCACCGTTGCCGTGGTGCAGTTGGCTGAGCACTGTTTCCAGCTTGCTGTGCCCGGCACCCTGCAGCCTCGTCTCTTTGCTGCTGAAAGGCAGCCGCCGTGCGTGATGATCATCATAATGGTGGTCATGACGATCGACACCGTGGTGGTCTTCATGGTGGTTTTCATGGTGATCATCATGGTGATCATCATGGTGGTCATCATGGTGTCCAGGTCCGTGTTGATAATGGTGGTAATCATCGTGGTGATCGTCGTGGTGATCGTCATGGTGATCGCTTTCATGGTGATAATTGTGGTGATCGTTGTGATGATCATTGTGGTGATCGTTGTGATGATCATTGTGGTGATCATTGTGGTCATCGTGATGGTCGCTGTGGTGTCCGTCACGGTGGTCACTGCGGTGGTTACCATGGTGAACCCGATGCCTGCTGTGATGCCCGTCGTAATGGTGGTCATAGTGGTGATCATCATGACGACTGTGGTGACCGCTGTGGTGGTTGTATCTGTGGGTACCGTGGTGGCTGCCGTGATGGCCACTGTGATGGTTGTCACGGTGACCGGTACCATGGTGGTCATCGTGGTGGTTGTCATCATGGTGGCCGTTTCCATGGTGGGTGTCGTGGTGGTCGTCATGATGGTCGTCATGGTGGCTGCTGCCATGGTGATCGTCATGGTGGTCGTCATGGTGATCGCCGTGGTGGTCGTTGTGGTGACCATAGTCATGGTGATCTCTGTAGTAGCTGTGCAGCTGCTCCTCCAGAGCGTTGATCTTCCGCTGGAGGAGTTCTCTTAAGGAGCTGGAGTAGGAGCTGGAAGAATTCCTGGCCTGCGGACACATAAAACACCAAGTAACTAAAACAATTTCTAACAGAGTAAGAACATCTCACTGACTGGATAATTTTACAAGGCAGAGTTTTGTTTAGTCATTTAAAGGTTTAATGTATTTAAAACATCTTTTGCCTTTATAAGTATTGAACACCTTTTTTAAAATTTTTTTTTTTTTTATCAAGTACTACTACCTTGGTCTTATTACCCTGAAAACACATTTGTGAAGTATTTGTTTTATATAGTGGACCAAACCAACCACAGAATACTATTACCATCGTCAGCATCATTGTCGTCATCAGGAGTCAGTCATAAAATGCAAAGATATTTGAGTAGGGATGCTTAGACAATTCCAAAAAAAAAAAAATCAATGCCTTTCAAAAGGAACTCAATAATTAAGTGTAGTGACGCCATTTAAAAAGCTCAGGAAATGGATATCATTCAAATTGAAGCATTGCATTGACACACAAGAGCAGCCAACATGACAATATGACAAAATAATCCCAGTTGAGGTCTCCGGTCTTCTTCAGTGAGTTTGCTCACTTGTCAAACTGCAGTCGCACCCTTTGTGCTATGAATTCATTTACAACAAACTGCTTCCAGCATCAGCAATGAACTTTATTGCTTCAGTCACATTCTACAAAATGAGCTGGAAGCAAATTTCTGTGATTATACTAAAGGGCCAGAAGTTCTTTGCCGCAAATAAAAAGAATTATGGTTTGACATTTAAAGTTGCAGCGGGAATACTTTTCCATCATGTCCTCTCTCTTCCTCTCCCTCGCTCACCCTCGTCTTCCTCCCCAGCAAATCCGGCTTTGTTCCCTGCCAGCACACGCCACGATTAATAGCCTCGTCAGGGAGGATGAAGCTAATTGGAGGTGAGGCTGGCTCGCGCCCTTCGGTGCGTGGCCAGAGGCTGGTGGCGCAGACATCCTGTTAGAGGATGGAGTGATGGAGGGTAAATCCTGGCTCCTCTTCTGTTTTGTCTCACACCTTCGAGGGAGATCGAAGGGGATTTCTGGCAACACCTTCCCTGAACACAGCCTGAGACCACCTGCACTGAAAATGATGCTTTCATGGGCCAGTGGGCAGCAGGGTTTTAGTCTTGCAATGTGACACCAGGATCAAGAAAATGTTTTAACACAAGTGTGACAGCAGAACTGCATGTGTGGCTTGTTTTAGATGCCGGAAAAGAGTTTAGGAAATCACGAGTGATGTGCAATGGCTACAAAATAGAGATGACCAATACTTTGGAAGAACAACAACAGCAACAAAGCTGCCCGGTAAACAGTGATCTATTGATTTGTGGGGTTCAAAGTGAAGGATTTTTTGAAAACTGGATCTGTGGTTCCCAGTGTTTCTGGCTTGTGACCTTTTGAAACATTACAAAGTTGACTAAAGATTTCTCACCAGAGGAATTATGAGTTCTTGAAGCAGGTAGTGGCATTTTTCAATCATGTTTAGGACCCTAAAGCAACTATGACTACTATTATATGGTGAGGTTGGGAAATCTAAATTCTATGCTATATAACTGTAGTTACAACATTAGATTGGAACATTTAGTGAGGACCTCAGCCCAGCTTCAACCTGAACTTTTGTAAACCTTTTGAACCACACATAACACCAAAATGATGCTTACAGGATTACAACAATAAAGGTTTGAGGCTGTTGTCATGGTATTAACGTTTAGTCTAACACAGACTGCAGCTTCATTCAAATCCCATAAAAAGCTTATAGAAGCTAAAATGTGACATTTTCAAGGCCAAAGAGCAAACAAAAGCACGCTTAACCTGAGCTGATGTACATACACACACTAGACGCATTTCAGGATTAATTAGAAAGTTTAACTTCCTTTAGCAATCTGCTAAGTGAATAGCAAAAATACTTTTATCAGGTCTTTTATCCTCTTTTGTCATTCTGTCTGAATTCGAATACTGTTTGTGCACAGGAGCTGTCTCCCTCCACCATGTGACTGGTTGCACACCGGGGTTGTTTATGGTCAAGGGTGAGGGCTAATCAACTTAGAGTATCTTCCTGCTCAGCTTTAGCCACTGATATCCAGGAGAGAGATTGAGAGCCGGAAGTACTAAGAGAGGACATTAACTTCCATGGCCTGGAGACAGCAGTCAAACAGATTTGATATTAGCTTAGTGGGTGGTGTGTGTCTGACTGTGGCTGGTGGGTGGTTTGTGATGTGTATGTGTGAGACGGGTTAGCTCCAACTTTTGAATTCTGCTTTATTGTGCTTTTAATTCCAAAAAACACTCAAGAAATACCACTACAAATAACATCCTTTTGAAAAAAAAATCCAGAGCTATGTCTTATTACTCATATAAGGCAGTGTCTATAAACTGTACAGCAGCCTGTAGGTTACCCTCTCTTTATGGAACATCTCCTTCTTTTTTGGCAGCACACATCACAGGCAGCTGATTCAGCGGCTGAGCTTGTGACCCTCAATGACGCAAAATATGACCCCAATTAAGTCAAACCTTTGATAGGCTTTCGCTTCCCCCGACACATTACAGAGCGTTTGAATTGTGCGGAACGTGCAGCTCCTCCTGTTTACCCTCTTCACCTGAAACATCAGAGCTTTAATTACATCGGCGTGATTTTTTTTCTGTTTTTTTTTGTAGAAGTTTAAGAAAAGGTTGATTTACTCCCACTGCATGATTTTCTGACTATAACTGAGAGCCCCTCGAGGGAGATCACATATGATTGGTAATAAATTAAACATTATCTCAAAGATGAATGAAGTCAAAGAAAGGGCAGAGGCTTATGGCAGGTATCCTATAAATGCACATTTCAAAATCATTCATTATTCAGTCAAAAGCCTGGGTGATGTAATTTCTTGGCTGCTAAATCCAACTTTATCTTTACTGCAAATCAAACTACTTATAATATTGTTTATATATGTTTTCTGAGAACTTCTGCAAAAGAGAACAGTATAGTAACCTTGATTAGTAACACTGCCATAAGTGTACGGGACCAATCAAAATAAAATGTATGCTTTAAAGGAAATTTTACATGATCTAATGCCAGTAAGACATAATACAGCCTTAGAAATCGACGTTAAAGGGGATATAAAATCCCAGGGAGTGATTCTGTAGGTGTGAATGTGAGTGTGTTTGGTTGTCTGTCTCTAAGTGCAGCCCTGTGATAGACTGGCGACCTGTCCAGGGTGTCCCCCGCCTTCAACCTAATGAGGATTAAGCAGTGTATAGACGATGGATGGATAGATGGATGCACTGAGGTGTGCACAAGGTGTCAAAAAAGCCAAACTGTATTCTTCCAGAAGGCGATACTCTTAATACTGTTTCCTAGAAATTAAAGTAGTCATTTGTACAAAAGATTACACTTGCCACAAAACAATAAAAGAGAAACTGTTCTCAGTGTTGCTTGTTTTGTTGTCGTGTCATTTTGAACAATAGCTGAATTGGAGAATAACAAGAGCCCATCTATCAGCACAGCTGTCCAAATTCTTTGTCATAAATGGATCCAAGTTTCACTTGCAAGTCCCCACATGTGTTCTGAAAGCCTCTCGATCACTGCCAACACCAACAAGTCTGCCAACCTAATCCACCACCTTAATTGTTTGTTCCTGCTCTCCAATATAACCCACAGGAACTTACTGGTGGCAGGACATGTAGGCACTGATATAGTGATAAAAACTGCTGTTGAAAAACCATGCATAATGTCCTCTGGTAAAGGTTTGGTTGGGTTTAGGAACAAAAATAACTGGGTTAGATTTGGGAAACATCAGGGTTCAGTTAAAATAAATAGGGCATACTAAGTAGAATATAATAAGTACTTTAAAGCTGGTGTGCAGGACTTACATATAAATAAGCATCTGTTACATTCAATCTCTTTCCAAATGAGTCCAGTCAATGCTGAATAAAGCTAGTATACTGGAGTTTAAATTCTGGTGTTTGTGGCAACATTCCTATGCTGGTGCAGAAACGATCCAGCAACCAGCAATAACTGCTTTGGTGAGGAGATGGAATAGGCTGCAGCAAATAAGAGCATGGATGATCATATGGAGAAAAAACATAAAAAACTTGTAATGCTGCAGATAAAAAAAATGCTGTTAAATGAAAGATGACTAAAAAGATTTAAAAAAGATGTCTAAAAAAGGAGTGCAATTGATGGCAAGGCATGTGTCATGGGCACACATTGACAGTGTTTGTGTGATTACCCTCACAGCCAGAAGGGGGAAAATTTCCACACTGCAAGTTTAAAGTTAAAGGGATATAATGGCTAAAATATAAACATGGTTATGCAATGATCATAAAAGAAACAGCACTGGTTGGAAATGAAAAGTGGTCTTTCGTGTTTTGTCAACCCATACATCCACCATGACCTCCTGCCTGCACAGACTTTATATAGATGATACCTGCCTTCCTCCTTTGCTCACAAAATGTAGCTTAAAGTTGTCTCATCAACACACAGGTGATCAATTTACTCTTTGCCCATTTCATGGTTAACACCGCTGAAAGTAAATGGGACTAGCTGCAATTAATTGCTCGATGCCAAACATCAAAAATGATCTCTTTACTGCTTTTGGTACCACAAAAATATTTCTTTAGCCAGGTTGCTCCAGGCTGAGTTATTTCATAATTCAAGTTTATCACATGGGCAGTGGACAGGATCTATAAGGCACGATATAAAGTTAGAAACCTATACAAATTCTGCGCAGTTATCTTACCATCATGAAACAAGTTTGGTCTTGGTTTCGTACTGTTGAATTTAAAATGTTAAACTACCTTACAGTGATCTTTCGCACATACCTGCAAGTTCTCCAGCCTCTCCTTCAATGTCTGCAGGGTTTTTCCAGTCTGTTCTGGTGAGAAGGAGCTGTGTTTGCTGTATGACGAGCCCTTCCTGTGGTGGGGGTCTGACCTGTGGCTGCCGTGGGAGTAATGATGATCGCTGCTGTGATATCCTGAAGGCCCATGGTGCGGCGTTGAAGGCGCATGATGGGTACCGTGAGGCCTTTGATGGTCGTCGTGGTGGCTGTCGTGGTGGCTGTCGTGGTTGTCGTGATGGTTTTCATGGTGATTTTCATGATGGCCGTTGTGGTGATTGTCGTGATGGTTGTCGTGATGACCAGTGCTGTGGTGACCCCCAAAGCCCTCGCACAAGGTGAGCTTGGCGGTCAGCTCTCGGATAGTCTCCCGCTGGTCCAGGATGGTTTCCTTCTGCCTTACGAGGCTCTCACGCAGGTGCAAGATGGTGGCTTTGGCCTCGTCGGACATCATGACTCGCCGACTGCTGCCGTTGGGGCCGTTGCTGTGGCCAGCGCTGCTCGGTCCGTGTGGCACGCTGGGTGGGGAGTAGCAGCTGGGATCTGCTTCTGGGGGGATAGGAGTGCAAACGAATTTGGGGCTGATGCCATAGTCATATTCTATGCCGGGTAAACTACCTGCTGCTGCTGCACATGACAGGAAGTAATAGAAAATTAGAGAACGGAGGGGGAAAAAGGGGAGGACCAATCCCAGAGTGGCTCCGACCCATTGCTGGTGCCTTGCAGACAAAGGCATGAGGCTCAGAAGACTGTCGTCTCTGGCCATATTTGGTTGGAGTCCAAGCTATTCCTTGACAACTGACAGTCCTCCCAGGCTTTAGCTTTCTTGTGACAAACACCATGAATGGAGGTCATTTGCGCTGGATTGGAGGGTGTTGGGGCAAAGCATGTCAACAAAACAGCTGCTTGTGAAATCTCCTCATAAATTCCTTTCAGATGACCAACTCCAAGGAAGTATTCCAACAACACACAAAGGGTGCTGCCACACTATTTAACAGTGTATCTTCAAGTCACGCAAGCTGTCTTGGCTCCATGGCGAGTTAACCGGCTGTGAAAGTTTGGCTGATGGATCTCGATAGCTACCTCCACCGTCTCAAGGATGAGGTGTTGGGCCACTGCCGCGCAGGTGATCCCTCTTGGCTCCAAGGACCTTCTGTGCTCGACAGCTGAGAATAATCCTTTTAACTTCGGCTTCTAACCATCCATCAAATCCCAGACTGCCCTTATGTACTGGAGACAGAAGAAACAGATAAAAAATGTTAAACTTCAAGATAAAAAGTCAAGGAGAATGAAGGCATAATGGAAACAAATTACAAATTGGGGATTTGACTAACTGCTTTTTAAATTGATGAAGAACATTGAGGTTATTTAGTGTTATTTCTGATATGCATCACAAAGTATTTAACTTGCAACCAATAAGAACACCAAAAGAAAAACCCACAGATAAATGCCAAATAAATCATCATCTAGACTGTCAAAAGAAAAAATTGTGAAAATTAAAGCAGATTTAATAGAATGGAGACTGGCTCAAAATAAAAAATGACAGCTTTCTGTTTAAGTGATTGTGTTCATATAGTAATTGCATAGATAAATACAGAGTGTGAAGTCATCTGTGTCATAAACAATTCAACTCTGATTACCAAATCACTGATCCAATCCGTCAGCATTTCTTGTCTGAGCCTACAAACCAGTGTTCAGTGTTTGCTAGAGCAGACGGGTAGACAGCCCCGCGGGGGAGGCTGGTGGGGGGTCCTCGAAGGCTACATCAGGCCACAGTGTAATCAGATTACAGCCAATTAATCTGACCCCAGAGCCACAGACCTGCGATTCACTTAATGAAAGCTGGTTTTCTTTCGGGCACACCTGTGGAGGTCATGAGTCAGAGCTCGCCTGTTCAAGGCCCGACATATTGATTGGCTGGTCAAAGTCAGCACAGTGACGTTTTGAGGTTGGTGCAAAAATGAACAACCTACACGTACAACGAAACGTTCCTTATTGCACATATCTGCGTTGTTCAATCATATGTATATTCGATGAATATCTGGGACATTTTTTAAAAAATTACAATGGTAGAATATTGTGTGCATGATTCCATTTGGGTTTAACTTAATCTGTTTGCACATCGCAAAGGCTTAGAGTACAAAAATTTCCATCATTATCATATTATTCTGCTTATTTATCAAGATCTCCTGACTACATACAGTATGAATAGATGTAAACCAGTCAGCAGAAGCAGCAGACATGGTAATGATTAAAAAAAATCTAGTTTGTGTTTAGGTTTGTGCAGGTGCATTGTTTTCAATCAGATTCAGGAAAATGGATTTGAGAAAAAAAGGTGAGCAACAGTGCAACTATATGTACGTATTATATTAGGGTGAGCTGATCTATTAAATGTTTCCTATTGAGTGGACAAAAAAAACCCCAGCAAAACAGCATAATAAATAGATTTTTGCATCTGTGCAACAGCGCAAGCTGCATCTCCTACGTGCTTCCTGAGGAACCATGCAAAGCCGAGAATTCTCAGAGCACACGGTGGTTGTTCCCTCTAAGCTCCTTACCTTTATAGCCTATCACCAGTTCAAACACCCACAGCACCCATTAGGCATAAACATCTCAGTGTCAGGAACTGCCTGTCCTCTCTGTGACACTGTCCTTCTAAGAAAAATGACGACACTGGACAACTGAAACGGCATCAGACTTGCCTTCAGTGTTAAAGCAATAGTTTCTGGAAATACACTTGAGTTGAGGAGATCATTAAATCTGTATGATCAATGTAAATCTTACACTAACTGCCAGCTTAAGACTGGAAAGCGATAACAAAAGGCAACAGAATTCAACCACCCTTGCCTCTGAAGCTCAACAATTAATTAATTAATTGTTATAATAATTAATTAACTAATTAAAGTTTTACTTGTGCAAGTGTAAAAATGACTGAGTTGTGATTTATTAGTGAGGATGTGCTACACTTTTTTCATAATGGAGAGGAGGATGATGCATATCAACAAAAGTCAGTACCTCACAACTTATTTATGATGATGATGCCCATTTAATCATTTAGATGGTTACTGGGGGTCAAAATCCAGCCCAGCTGCCTTTGAGCCAGAGGTGAGGTACACCCCTCACCACTGCTAACAAAAGAGACACACAACCATCCACACTCACAGCCAGTTTAGAATAGCCAATGATATGCAGCCAGAAATGGCCAGGCACAAGAGGAAAATGCAAACTCCATACTCCAACTCAGAACCTTCTCACTGTGAGGCAACAGCACAAAGCAGTGCTCCAAATTTCCTACAAATATTCTTCATCAATGCATTTTACAAGTGGGATTACCAGGGGGAAAAAACGCAATCATTTCACTGTCTGTAGTGTTGTAAAGATCAGTTTAAAAAAATTTAATGGCCAAAGATGAAAGTTTCATTGAAAATCTTTCCATGATCTTGCTGATTGCAGCCTCAAAGTAGGATTTCGGAACCACTCTGTGGCAATAAATGTGATTTTATTTTTTTTAAGTCAGTACACTCAGTGCCTTTTAACGAAGCGTTCAGAGATACGCACGCAGTAGCTCCACGAACGCCTTAATCTGACAGTGAGCTCCGCTGTCTGATACTTAAGGACAACCTTAGTGGAGATTTAGGAGACATGATACCTGAGTGAGACACGTGGCATCATGCATGAGTCCAAAGAGCATCATTTCATGTACAGCAACACGGGAGCAACAATCTCCCTATTTTCATAAATCAAAAGAAGGCTTTTGCAGGTACCACAATTGGGACCTGAGCTTTACACTGACGTCCTTTATGATTTCAGTTCACACTCATGTACGTCTAATGCAGCAACTAGACTTAAATGATCACAATTCCGAAAACTGTCTGGTCGACTTACATGGAAGAAGCTTTGATTTTATGACTGCAAAACATGACTCGACTGAGTAAAGTGAAGAAAATCAACTCAGTTTCATCCATATTATTAACTTTGCACACTGATGTCTGCAAGAATGTAAATAAATAGGTGAAGAATCAGTTGTCAAATCACTTTTGAATTTGTTTCCATAAAAGCATGTATGCAAAGGAACAGTGAACGTTCAGTAGTCAGAATCAATCAATCCCAAGGTGCCATTTTGATATTATTTATTACAATTTGATTTTACAGAAAAAATATAAAATGGCATATCACCCTGAGGTATTTTCTTTTGTGAATCATTTATTGATACGTGCCTTATTTTAAACTCTGTGTTTTGTATGACGCATGTTTGTCATTTAAGCTAACCTAACATTCCTATGATGAACAAATTATAATTAAAACTTACTTAACATTTTTATAAAGTCCATAAATAATGCTTGTGATGCTGTATGGAAAGTAGGTTTTATATTTTCATTAAATTAATGTATTCACTGTAGACAACTTTATACAAGGCATCCATATAAGGAGCTGGAACAAAAAGACAATGTCGGAGCTTTTTACAGATTTCTTTAAAGTCATCTTTTTTTTCTTTCATTTTTTAAAGCAGGAGACTTTTAATTTTCAATCTCTCAGTGGTACAAAGTGACTCCCGTTCATGAAGGCGCTGCACATCCGGCTGATCTGATTATCTTATCTGCTCAGGTTTCCCTCAGCGGACTACGGATCGCCTCTCCCTCCTCATCCTCCTCTCCCTCCTCCTTCTCCTCCTCCTGCTGCTGCTGCTGCTGCTGCTGCTCCTCTCAAGGATGACAGACTAATAGGATTGGTTGGATTTAATGCTATTTAACAAGGGATTGGCTGCAGGGTCCTGGTTCCGCCAGAGCAAACTCGCCCCCACACCCACAAAGTCAAGTCATTGTTGTCACACGTGTCGCTGCAGAAGATGGACATGTGCGTGGCATGCAGCGTGCAGACAGTCCAAACAGACGTCGTTTCATTTCTGACAGAAAGTTTGCTGCTTTTCCTTGGGATTGCATCATGATTTATGATTCTTCTATCATGACAATAAACATTTTCCTGCTTTCAGGATTAAATTTTTCAGGTGGAATCAGTTTTTAGAGGAAAAGTGCTGGTTTGTGATTTTGTACACACACTATAAAGGCTCTAATAATTTCTAAAAGCTACTGTATGGTGACTTTTTGTGCATGCAGCATCAGTGTACTGTTGTTTGGACTTGTGCATGTTCATCTTTTCAAGCCAATTCCAGCCCCTTTGCTTAGGTCAGTTCTCCAAGTTCAGCGAACTTAACAAGTGGTCTCATCCTCCCTTCAGCTTATAGATGTGCCTTCTCCCCGTCGTTAACAGGCCCTGGCCTGACCTCCCTGCCTTCCCATCCCACGAGTCAACACTCTGAACAGTAACCTCAGCGCTCAGGTGAGTCGCTTGAGTCTAAACGTGACCGGCGACAACACAGAGCAGTCAGCTGGCACTGTCAGCGGCTCGAGATGTTTTGACGTAAAGTGTCCGAGCTAAAACTCTTAAATTCTTTAAACACATCCAGGTGACAGGATGTGGGAGCATTCCAACGCTCTGCTGCACATTAATATTGCCCAAGTGATGTGGGGTGTTTTTGCAGGGAAAAGGTTTAGGAGAGCATCGTGGCACCAAGTATGCAGTCAGACAGCTTTAAATCTGGCTTCTTCTGGCTGATATTTTTGCAGAACTTGTTGTATTAATGTTCAAAGTTTTGGATCCATTCAGTAACAACAATAACAGGGTTTTGTTACTTATTGCAACAAACAAATATTAGCACTTGGAGAAACAATAAATCATAAAACAATGAACTCTAAAATAATGATTAAG